AACCAACATGTACTCATACACTCATATTTATTCATATTTCCCTCATTTTTATTGAATAAACGTCATAATAATGGTAAATGGCCATTACAAATTATTGGTTGGCATGCGTGTCAAAAGAAACAAAAAAAAATCTGTTGATAAGTAATTTTATTCTTATTGGTTTCTTAATGATTTCTATTGGTTTTTCGGTTTTAACCAAACCAAAACCATTAAGTTGCTTATTGGTTTAAAACCAAAAAAACCATGGACCAGGAAACCGGATCGTACCGGCCAGTTCAACCGGTTCAACTGGAAATTGGATAAAAAATGAAACAGTAGGCTGTTAGTGGATAATTTACCGTACCGGCCGGTTTTTTTCGGTTTAACCGACACGAAACGAGAAACTGCCCGCTTTTGTCGAAACCGGCGGTATGCTATTTGCAGTACTAGACGTCGCCGTTTTGTGCAACTAAAATAAATATAAAAAAATCGACGTAAAGAAAACAGATGCCCAAACCCTAATCTCCATAATCAAACGATCGTTTCTCTCTTTCCCAAATTTCACACCCTATCCTCGCCCCGCCCCGCCGCTCATTTCTCTTTTCCTCTGGCGACCCGCGATCGGCGATAGGGACGAGACGAGGGCGACGTCTGCGATCAGCAACGAGCTCGACTGCGGCGAGTCTCCCAGCCCCTGCTTGAATCTCCCTCCCCTGCCGAGTGTTGACTGTCGAGTCAATCTCCCTCCAATGCCGACTCTCCCTCCCCTGTCGAGAACGCCGCCGCACCTAGTCACCCTCCCGTTGCCGTCGCCGCCGAGATCGAGTTACGTACCAGACGCGGAGATAATTGTCTTCAAAGTTAAATTACGTACGGACGTGTGTGGAAATATATATTGGCTATGTTGAGCTTTTAATAATCCCAAAATAATCGGCTTGTGAAAGTATATATTGGCTATGTTGAGCTTTTGATAATCCTAGAATAATCGGCTTGTATACTGCTCTATTTTAGAGCTTCTTTTTTACAATGTTTGGGGACAAAATATAATGTTTGTGAATGTTATGGCAGCAATGGCCATTGGTAATGTTGTTTTGGTTGTTTTGTACTTTGTACAAAACATTTGAAAGATTATGTAGTTTGATTATGTAATGTTGCACTTTGTTGATTGTTATATTACATATGTTTATTTAGCGTATTCAAGTTTGTTATCCGGTATTTTACGGTTTTATTCCGATATTACTCCGAGACGGTATCCTGAAACTTGCGGTACGGTATTTTAACAAAAAAATAATATTTTATTACAAAAAGGTATTTTACCTCTACATAACGGTTAAACCACGATCGTACCACAAAATACCCTACCACAAACGAATCCGGTATGACTTCCGGTACGGTTTCCTTTACCATGCAAAAAACTGAAACCATTAGCTTTCAAATTGGTTTGGTTTCGGTTAAAACCAAAAACCCAAAACCAAATGGACAGCCCTAATCATCGCCTTTGGCCACCATTTTGCAGCTCATCTCGAAATACTATTTGCGGAATCCTAAGTTTTCCCCACCAACGTTACCCAAGGCCGCTACCACGAGTTTTGTATCGGGACCGAGTTTCATCCTCTTTAGTATTTTTTTTTCTTTTTTGTTCCTTTTTGTTGAGTTTGATCACAATTGAACCCAAACATTAATTAATATATAAAAGCCTAGGTTGTGAGTTATTATTCATTAGTGGCTCTCAACTCCTCCAAGTGTAAGTGGGGAAGTTCCAAGCCCTTCTTTTACCCCACTCTCCATTCTACAACCTTTGTATTTAGTTATTGTTTGCTCGGTTTTCGTCTATGTCTTTTTGCACTAATCATCGTCTTTGTATTTAGTTATTGTTTGCTAGTTAATATATAAAACCCTAGGTTGTGAGTTACTATTCATTAGTGGCTCTCACACTCCTCCAAGTGGAAATGGGGAAGTTCCAAGCCCTTCTTTTACCCCACTCTTCATTCTACAACCTTTGTGTTTAGTTATTGTTCGGTAGGTTTTCGTCTATGGCTTTTTGCATAAATCATCGCCTTTGACTACCATCTTACAGCTCATCTCGAAATACTGTCGGCGAAATCCTAAGTTTTCCACACCAACGTTTCCCAAGGCCGCTACCACGAATTTTGTATCGGGACCGAGTTTCATTCTTTTTAGTGTTTTTTTTATTTTTGTTGAGTATGATCACAATTGAACCGAAACACATGGGTTGTCCTAACTTGAATACAAATCATCGCCTTTGTCCACCATTCTGCAGCCCATCTCAAAATAATGTCGGCAGAATCCTAAGTTGTTCCCCACCAACGTTTCCCAAGGCCGCTACCATGAGTTTTGTATCGGGACCGAGTTTCATCCTCTTTCGTGTTTTTTTTCTTTTTCCTTTTTATTGAGCATGATGACAATTGAACCCAATGCAGCTACCAAAAATTCATACCATATCTACTCAAGTTGGTGAGTTTAGTATCGGGATCGAGTTTCGTTCGCTTTAGTGTTTTTTTCTTTCACTTTTTCCTTTTTGTTTGGGGTCATGAGCGAGTCTTATCCGCTTTAGTATTTTTTATCCTTTTCCTTTTGGTTGAGAATGACAATTGAGTCCAAACGCATGGGTATACAACCTAATTCGACCCGACTAAAGTGATTTGAACCCGATTTTACAGGTTTTCGGCGGGAACGAGGTTTATATGTTTTTGTAATTGGTGTGTTGTGTCAGGTGTGAATTTGTCCAAAGCTTGGTCCAACTAGGTCAAAGCGAGTTGAACCTAGTGTTGACGAGTTTTGAGTCGGTAGCAAGTTTTAAGTATAGTGTTTTTCATTTTGCTTTTCCCTTTTGTTTGAGAAAGACAATTGAAACCAAATCCATGGATATCCAACCTAATTTGAAAAAAGATCCAGAGAAGATGCTTCATTCTGCAAAAGTTATAGCAGAATCAACTACTACCCATACAAATTGATACATTGGCATCATGAAAGAAGTTTAAACATAAATAATATATTTGACGACCTTTCTACCTTATGCTAGTTCATCAATCATATGCTATTGTAAATAACAAATGGGTGAATTGCAAGTTTGGTCACTCATATTATCTATTCGTAACATGTTAGCCACCCGAATTACTTTCGCTTCAATTTAGCCACTAATATTACATGTTTATGTCATCTTTAGTCACTCGCCGTCTAGTTCCGTTAAATCTGTCCTACGTGGCGGTCAACAGTTACATTTGAATGTTAAAATGGTGATGTGGAATTAAAAATAAAAAATAATTATGTAAGAATTCCAACTCACAAAAAGAGAAAGGGAGAGAAAGAAACCAACGGAGCAATTCATTCTCTCTTTCTTCTTCATTTTTTTCCTTTTCTTCAACTATGCCTCTTCTTCTTCCAAGACGAACTAAGACAACTGTGGCAGCCGCGCGGATCGATGACAGCGTAGGAAGGCAGGGATTGACGAACGACCACGATCAGGGCGAAGACCGACACTGGGCGACGATTTGACGAAGATCCAACGATCTGGGCAAAGACCAGCGATGGGCGACAATATGGTGAAGATCCGTAGAGCTGGGCGGAGCGGCGCTGGGCAACGATCCGACGAGATCCGAGGATCTGGGCGAAGATAGTGCCGGCGTTGATGGGAAAGATCAGGCGGCATAGGTAAATTCATGATGCGGCGGTTCTGGTTTGAGCTTTTGGAATGGTGATATGCGAATCAGTTGGGATTTTGTTTATGCTTTCTTATCTTGATTTGATATGATGTTTGGGGATGTGGGTTTTGTACAAGAAGGTGAGGAGCTGAACAACAGAGGGGTTGGCAAGGCAGGGGATTCAGTCTCTAGCGGCTGCAGAGGCGGCAGATGAGGCAGGGGATTCAGCCGGCGTAACACCTCCTTCGACTTGACTCTTGTGGGAACAGTTGCGGCGGCTAAGGCAAGGGATTCAACCCGGCGAAAACGACGCCTTGGGTTAGCTCTTGGCTGTTCCCAATCTGTGGCCAAATCACCCCGGAGATTTAGTTTACGCTCAGGCGTGCAACTCATCCGGGAATCGATCCTTCCAAAATCCAGATTACGTTAGAGCGGGAACAGAGGAGGGGAGATGATGGTGAACAATGACCACGACGAAGGTGGCGGCGGCTGATGTTAGGGCACCGGATCGCCTGGGAGAGAAGGGTTGTGCGAGGGGAGAAAGAGAAGATACAAGTTTTTTTCACAAAATAAATTTGTTTTAATTTTGATGAAAAAAAATATTTATTAAATTTTAGTATGACATGGAAATAAAACAATTATTTTTATTTAATTTTTAGGGCCACGTCACCACTTTAACAGTCAAATGTAACCATTGACCGCCACGTAGAACAAATTTAACGGAATTAGACGGTGAGTGACTGAAGATGACATAAATATGTAATATTAGTGGCTAAATTGAAGCGAAAGTGATTCGGGTGGCTAACCCGTTACAAATAGATAATATGAGTGACCAAACTTGCAATTCACCCAATAACAAACCTATGAAAAGAATGATTAAGAAAGAAATAAGATTACTTTCATTTTTGGTCAACGTTAAAACTAATACTATTTAAAATATTTATTTTTCTGATACGCGAAACGATAGCGAGTGGACTTTTGCTAGTATGCTAAAAACTAAAATAAAAACGCCGTCTCCCCAGCCGGAGAACAATCCCAAATATTGCAAACCCTATAAACAAACACTAACTACTGCTTGTCATTTCTTCACGTCACTTTTAGGTGTAACGTACTAGTTTGATGTATGACCAAAGAATGTCTATTTGTACATCGCCAAAGGGCTATAAGTACATGCCCCGCTACTTGCCCAATTAACCACAGCAAGTAGTTAAAACTACACCAAGTTTAAGTATGAACTTCCTACCGTACTCCGGCCTCCGGCCAACACTCTCTCTCATCTTCCTCCTCTTCTCTTCAACATGCATCGTCTCCTCCGCATCCGGCGTCCATAGTGACTTCCTCCTCTGCCTTCGTTTCTCCATGTCCGACCTGATTCACACCCCACACTCTGCCTCATACTCCTCCGTTTTCCAATTCTCCATCAGGAATCCAAGGTTTAACAACACCTCAGCTTCCAGGAGACCTATAGCCATCATCACTCCCATCACCGTTTCCCAAGTACAATCCGCCGTCCTCTGCTCCCGCCGTCACGGCCTTCAGGTCAGAGTTCGGAGCGGCGGTCACGATTTCGAAGGCATGTCCTACATTTCCTCTGCTCCCTCTCAGCCATTTCTCCTGATCGACCTAATCAATCTCCGAAACGTGACCGTGGACGTCCCAACCAAGTCTGCCTGGGTCCAAGCGGGTGCTGTTCTCGGTGAACTCTACCATAGTATTGCCTCCGCCAGCGGGACTCTAGCCTTCCCGGCAGGTATTTGTCCTTCCGTCGGTGTTGGTGGACACATCAGCGGCGGAGGGTACGGAATGCTGTTGAGGAAGTACGGGATGGCCGCGGACAATGTCCTCGACGCTCGATTGGTGGACGCGGAAGGCAGAATCCTGGACAGAGCCGGCATGGGCGAGGACGTTTTCTGGGCGATTCGCGGCGGCGGGGGAAACACCTACGGAGTCGTCGTCTCCTGGAAAGTCAAATTAGTCCCTGTCCCCCGCCGAGTGACGGGGTTCAAGGTCTCGAAAACCTCGGAAGGAAGCCTGACGAAAGTCATCCAACGGTATCAGCATGTGGTGGATAAGCTGCCCGACGATCTCATGATCATGCTGACTCTGAGCAGAATCGACTCTGCCGCTGCACAAGGACAAACCATAATACAGGCGGAGTTCCTCGGTCTATATCTGGGGGAAACAGAGTCTCTGTTGACGGTAATGAAACAGAGCTTTCCGGAGCTGGAGCTGACGGAAGAGGGATGCACGGAGATGAGCTGGATCGAGTCGGCTCTCTACTGTGCCGGGTACCCGAAGAATACCTCATATGACGAATTGCTGAACAGCAGGAACAGCTCCTCTCTCCAATTCGCGAAACTGAAGGCGAAATCTGACTACGTCCAGAGGCCGCTCCCTGTGAGGGCATTGCAGGGGATTTGGAGGAGTTTTGACCAAGTGGAAGCGGGGCCGCCTCTGGTGCAGATGGTTCCCCACGGCGGGAGAATGAGCCGGATCTCAAATTCAAGCATCCCTTATCCGCACAGATCCGGCAATATTTACAAAATCCAGTATTTCGCAAGCTGGTTCGGAGAAGACAAGAAAGTAGAGAAGCGACATTTGCACTGGATAAATGGGCTGTATAGATTTATGACGCCGTACGTTTCCAACAACCCAAGAGGCGCGTACCCCAACTCCAGGGATCTGGACTTGGGAGTGAATGATCCAGTCGGGCGTACGAGCTATAAGCAGGCCAGAGTTTGGGGGGAGCAGTACTTCAAGCATAATTTTGAGAGGTTGGCTCGTGTGAAAGCCGCCATTGATCCCTCTAATTTCTTCAGGAATGAACAGAGTGTGCCTCCTTTTGTCAGGATGACGACGGGACGAGTATAATTTGGTCTTATGATTACATGATCGGCCAATTTCCTCACCCATTTGACCGCGTGTTGCCTTATGCTGAAGAGCAAAGGAAATCGACCTCGGATAGGGAGAGAAGCAGCAGCCGCGCAGCTTCAGGACTGATTTGAGTTTCTTTCCGACGTTTTTTTGTTTGTTTCTTTTCTGGTCTCATAAATGTATTGCAATTATGATTTTAAAAATGAAGTTAATTAATAGTGTCATAAATGTCAACTCAAAGAGTTGATGGAGAATAATATGAGAGTTTATGTTTATATTACATAGCAAGCAACCTTCACGGGAAAGTGAGGATAGTACACCCCCTTCTCTTGAAGAATTCTTTGACTTCTCTAAAAAAAACTTTTGTTTCCAATTCCCCTTAGGGCTGCTGGTGGCGTCCCTCCGACGATCGACGGCAGCTCTCCCCATCTTTTCTTTCATTTTTTCTTTACCTTATATTTGGTTGTTTGATGTCTTTTCCCGTTATTAGAATCTCTCCCTCGATCTCGCACCATAGATGATTGTGTTCGTTGCTCTGTTTTGATTCATCAAATCAGTAGATCTTTTGTTAGTTTATTTCTTAAGGTTGGGTTGTCTTCTGCTTTTCTCTCATTTCGTTTACCTCGTTGTTGTGCCAGCTGATCTCGGTGATTCGGAGGTGCCTGTAGCCCTCCTTTGGAATCGGCTCGGACTCTAAAGAAGCTTACAACAAGAAAACCATCTTTGTATAGCATTTGGGTCAAGGAGTTATCGGAAGAAAATAAATATATTTTAACCAATATTTTCTATTCATTATTAATTAGAATAAGGTAATTAGCTTTTGGAATTTTAATTTCCAATATTTTGGGCTTCTTGCACGCAAAACCCTGACCAGAACATCATGGGAGATTGTATTGGGAGTGATGATGGCTGTGGGCCTTGTGGAAGCTGAGGTATCGTTGAACCGGGTGTTTCGAATGGAGAACTGGAAGACGGAAGAGTATGAGGCGGAGTTTGGGGTGTGAATGAGGTGCGAATTGGGGGAGACGGTGGTGTTTCAAGAGAAAAGGCAGCAAAAGGACGTTGTTATGGTCGCCGGCGGCGGAGGAAGTGATCCATGTGGATGAGAAAATGAGGAGGACGAGAGGTAGAGTTGGCCGGAGGAGGAGGAAGGAGCGCGGGGAATTCATACTTGCTTGCTGCGGTTCATTGCCTGCATGGTACTTAATTATGGGCCCTTTTGCAACGGAAGGTACCATTGTTTGGCCACGTACCATATGCTTGGAAAGTCTAGTTCTATGTGCGATAGACTGGGAGGTGTTCAAACCCGTTCCAAAAATTAGCAAAATTTCCCGACTGATGTTCTTGTTTTCTCGGTGATGTTTTGTATTAATTATTACATGCTCAAATGTGATGACTTTAATTAAGAATGATGATGTTATTAAGATGGAGAAGTTTTACCAATTGCTATGAGATTATTCACGCGTATAACTTATGTTTTCATGCAATTTTATCGGTTATTAACGTTAATTCACTTGTATTTAGTAATTACGCAGATGGACAAGTATGACCTGTTGCTGAGCTACGAATCTACCAACCAACCCTTATAGGGTTTTGTTGGGGGCATAACTATGGCCCAAGGAGATCAGGCCCCATGGCTTAAGGGAGGGAAGCTAGCAAGTCAGGGAGATAAGCCCAATCAAATAGGCCCAAGCACGTGAAGGGGGTCAGCCGAGTAAGGTAAGGAGACCTCCCAAGCATGTGGGGCCAGGATTCTGACACGGGGCGCATGCGGCAAAGACTCCCAACTGTCGAAAGGATACGGAGCGTGGACCAGCTGACGTCATGTGCCTCGGTCTTCTGAGCAAGGGGTACGAGGGTCGAGGCGCATGGAACATAAGTGTACGGCGCATTAATTGGGGTTCTGACGGAGGGCGGAAGGGAAGGATGTTGGTTGGCCAGGTCCCTAGTATAAATAGCGAGGTTGGTGAACCTCATTTACTCAGGTTAGACCTTCTCTCTAAAATCACTGTTCACTTCTCTCTCTAGAAACGGGGTACTGAATTGGGTGTCGGAGTGCTAACGAGCCCTGGGAAGGGCTCGAGGGGCGCCTTTGCGTGCAGGGGGAAATCGTGCGGACGGGTCGACGGGCGGGATGACAAGCGCAGAGTTATGTGGCACAAACAGGTCTTGAATATTACATTTCAACTCCAACTTTTTCTTGAGAAATCAATACATGTATCTTTTGTAGTTTGCTTAATTTCGAGTCTAAATTAAAGAAAACTCACCCTTCAATCTTCATAAAAGTTTGAAGGGTTAATATCTTAATTATTTTGGCCCGAACTATGATCATATAGTCAATTTTGGCCCATGGTTTTAGAAATTAACATCCTAGCCTCAACTATACCACATATAGACTCAATTAACCAGACACATGGTTTGACCGTCAATTAGGAAGGTCAACACCATTGACCGTTAGTCAACACGCCATGTCATTGTCTCGTCAGCCTAAAAATCATTAAAAAATTCAAAGTTAAATTACTTTCCTAATTTCTATTAGTTATGATTTTCAAATTAACCAAAAAATAAAATTTAAAATAATTTGATAGTTTTTGGTTAATTTATAAAATATTAAATTTCTTTTATATTTTTATAATTTTATATTTTAGTTAATTTGACAATAATAAATAATAAATTAGGAAAATAATTAGAATTTGAATTTTTAATGATTTTATGGTGACGAAGCAATGACATGGCGTATTGACTAATGGTCAACGGTGTTGACCGTCCAAATTGAGAGTCAAACCATGTGTCGGGCCAATTGTGTCTATATGTTGCATAGTTGAGGCCAGGATGTTAATTTCTGAAACCATGAGTCAAAGTTAATTATATGATCATAGTTTATGCCAAAATAAGGTATTAACCCAAATTTGAAAATTATTTTTACTATGCACTCACTAAAATCAACATAGAAATCGTGCTTGATATCCTCAAACGCGATGTCATTTAGGACAATTTTAACGATGAATAAGTCAATTTGAGTGTGCTTAATTGATTTAAAAGAGTACTATCCGTTGATCCTTTGAGTGAATTGTCACCTAAATAGAAAGAAAAGTCGGACAACTTAGAAAAATTTCAAAGTCGGACAACTTAATTGATTTAAAAGAGTACTATCCGTTGATCCTTCAAAGTAATAACTTAGAAAAATTTCATTTTAAAATGACAGACTACCTAGAACCTAAGTTACTCATAGTATATCACATTCTTGTGATTATATTTCAAAGTGACAACTTAGAAAAATCATATGTATATTTTTTATGACTTCCTTGGTTTTTTATCAAAGTGCACGTAGTCTATTATTTTATCTTAAACGAGGAACATAGCTCATTTATTAGTTACTTTCAAATTAATCAAAGCTGCATACTCTATCTAAGATAACTAAACATTCATAGTCTTTGTCCAGCTACTATGTGGCTAATTACGCTTCTAATTCATCGGCTATATCATTTTTAGGCTAAAAAATTAATTTTTGGAAGACTTTGAGAGCCGGATCTAGTCTTTGAAGCTCTAGATCATATCCAGATCATGGACAAGATCGATTGTTATTAGCCAACGATAAGTCTAAGGGAGTGGTGCCATAAGCCTTCCGAATCACCCTGTGCAGCCAAACTCTAGCGTGACTGTTACGAGAATCAAGCCATCGTAACTATTGGGCCTCAATATGGGCTTGGTTATTTTGTTATTTAGTATTTTATTTATCAATTATCTTTATTAGTAGTTTTCTTGTCTAAGTAGGATTTGGTTATTGTTAGTAATTTTTTTATAGGAGTAGGATTCATGTTTTAGATAGGTTAGGGTAGAGGCTTCTATACCTATAAATATGTATTTGGTCTTTCGTTTAATGATAAGTTGAAGATTTGAATCCAATGGTAGTTGTAGTTATCTTCGTTCCTCTTAATATTCTCTTCGTTCTAACTCTCTTTCTTACGAATATCTTTCAACATCGACAACGCACGTTACGTGAAGATTCTCACCGGAGAAATAACTTATAACAATTGGTATCAGAGCCTGGTTCTTTGCGGCTAACATGATCCGGTATGATGGGGCCAAAGAAGGCTATCCAAGCAACGACGACCTCCGATCAACCGGCGATCGACGAGGAGCTCCTCTATGCGCAGCAAGATGCCAGCGGGCGAATTGACGAGATCAGCCAACGACAACAGGTAGTCGAGGAGGGAGTCTTGCAGATTGCGACCACCGTGACGCAACTTCAGGCAACATTGGCGCAACAATTTCAGGATGCAATGGCGCAGCAGCAAGCAGCCTTGTTGGAGATGATGAGGCAGCTCATCACGAGCTCTGGCAAGAAGAAGGCAACGAGGCCAAAGGTCACATAGCCTGGTGGTAAGGGAGGAGGACTGGTGACCATAAGGTCCCAGGTTCGATCCTCACCGCCACCATGGTGTTCCCGGAGGCATCCCGCTGTCACCTGGACCGCCGGCGGAGGTGCCGGGGTTTAGCCTGACTACGACATCACAAAATGTGGTGACCGTGGAGGGTGTTCCTCGTTATAAAAAAAAAAAAAGAAGAAGAAGGCAACGAGGAGTCCTTCGCGTAGGCAACGTTCAACCGTGGACGTTTCTACCGGTGAGGAGCTAACCGTAGCTCGCTCATCACCAACTGCAACTGGCGAGCTAACCTTAGCTCGCGTGCGACCACCGATCACACACTACAAAGAAAACCTCCAACAGCAGGGGATTTTTTCACTTTTGGCAACGGAAAAAACCGTCGCTAAGTATCCCGGCGACAGTTTTTGTAACCCCTGCCTAACCGTCGCAAGGAGAACTGTTGCAAATGTATGCCAGCGGTCAGGACAACCCCTGGTGGATGTCCTTGCAACAGTTTTTGCTACGGTACAAACCGTCACTATTGGTTTTTTTGTTACTATTGTTATGAATTTTTGCAGCGATAATTAAGCCTTTTTGCGACGGTTTTTAAAACCCCTGCTATATCCGCAA